GTTTCGATTATCAAACCTCAAGATTTGGTTACAAAACTTAATCACTTCAAACTGAGCAAAATTTGCTCCCCTTTCTGCCAATATAATCTGGATATCAATCTTTATTGTTTTTAGCAATTGAAATGAGTCCAAGTAGCTTTGTATGAGATTAGTTTGCCTAATAGTTTCCACATTTACTCCCAGTATAAATTCACAGTTAAGTTGCTCTGACTCTTCAAATTGTATATCTTGATATATAAAAGCCTGTTCAGGGTTACTCAGTCTCTCTTGTATTGTTCCTTGTTCCACAATTTTATTCGTTTTTAAAAAGTCAATGTAAGGTTCTAATATGGCCCCTTCAGGGTGTGGATAACTTTCATCAGCTACCACCGCATCCACTTGTTTAACCAGATCTTGAGAAGCAATTGTAGCATTCAAGCAAAAATCCTCCTGTTTCTGTGATAAATCTTGTTGTTGTAATAAATCCTGTTGTTGTTGCATCACTTGATCACATCTATTTTGAAATTTAACATCAAACGATTGAAACATCTCAGGACGTTTACACTTCTAAAGATAAAAAAATTAATACAAACTAAGAAAAATATATATATAAAAGAGAAAAAAAATACAGAAAAAGATATATAAATATATAAAGGCATGACTTCCCCCTCTATCAAGACAAATACAAACAATTTCAGTAACTTATCACCATCACTTATATATTTTTTTAAAAAAGATCTCTTCTTCCCATATCTCATCTATAATCAAATTATAAAGTCCTAATCAGCAAAAGTCCATTGACTGACTAGAAATAGCAACATATATGTTAAACTTAATCAAATATATCAGTTTTATATTACTTTTCTTTACTTTGAACATACTGTAGTAATTTATCAATTTCTCTAACCATACACCAAAAAACCCTCCTTTCTTTGTCTTGTCTTGATTTGTCATCTTTAAAGCCTCATCATTCAGTTCTAGTAAAACAAAAAAAGTTGTTTAAGATAGCGGTCCCAAACTTTTTTGGCACCAGGGACTAATTTTGTGGAAAACCTCCCCTGGGGAGGGATGGTTTTGTGCACTACCTATCCTGTGCATGCACCACTCCACAGCCCAGGGATTGGGGAATCTTGATATATAATTTTTTTTATTTATAAAAATAAATAAANCTCACCTACATCGTCCATATAGGACGACTCGGGAACTCAACTCCTACCCCGGGCAGCTCACCTATCCCCTTATGCCCAGGGGAAAGGTATCAAGCCGTTTGACAGCTGGTGCTGGCTGTCAAACCGGCTTTTACGCAAAACAGGCGGGAGGCAGCAAACAGCTGCGACCGACGAAATCGCCTGCCACCGGAAGTCCTAGATCTAGATCTTTTCCTCCCCACTTTCCTTTTAATAAAAATTGGGTCATTTGCTTCTCAATGTTGAGATTGGACTGGATTCCTGGGCTTTTGGACATCACCCCCACCTACTCCTACTATATAATATTTGGATATGCATTCCAGTTTTTTATTTTCTTTTATTTCATGAGCAGCTTTTATTAATGCTGGTGTGATATAATAGAAAGTACTGCTGAAAGTAACAGAGAAGAAATAGAAGAAAATAATGTGTTTCATTCCCTGTTTATTATTTCAAAGTGCTTTTCAAACAACTGGTTTTGGGACATGCACAGCAGCTTTTCAAGGTGCCCCAATTATTGTAACTAGCCCAGGTTTGTCAGACTGGCCCAGACCAGTAATCCTGGAGCAGAAGGTCTCAAGCAATTGGAAATGAGACAGCAATTTTATCAACCAAGAAATCCTGCAGAAAACTATATTTTTTGTGACAACATCTTGAAATGGAGTAGCAGAAAATGTTCTTTTTGGATATAGCAGAAGAGACAGTGCTGGTGGCTTCAGGAGGACACAATGTCCTTTTGGCATTATCCTATCCATGAAATATTCTGGGCATCGTGTCATGGTGGCATTGGACTGCTTGTAGCCTTTCCAAGTCAGCAGTGGGAAACAGAATCCAACAAAAGGAAGATTTCTCCAGGAAAGGCAGATGAAAGAAAAGGAGGTTTTCACCCAAGAGAGGATACATTCATGCCATTAACTTTTGCAAGCATGTCAGAAACCTTCTTTCATATTTTTCCTCTCTGATCATTTTCATTCCATTGAATGGAAAAAGAGAGCATTTTTAATTTGTTTTTTCTAAGTTGAACCAAATTTCCATCACATTATCAGAGGTGGAATGCATAGGAACTGAAAGGAGAGAAAGGGTGAGCTTTACGAAGTGGATCACTTTTGTGACCTTTCTCACCTCATATTCCTGCTTGAAGCCATACCCTTCTGCTGTTTTCATTTGGTTGATGTGCTGGAGAAGATCGGCCACTCGGACAGCAGGGTGAAGCTGCCCAGTGTGATAGGGGGAGCCTTTGCGTCCACACTGCCTTCGAGGGGACCCCCCTAATAGGCTGCTGGACTCATTGACAATGTTGGAACGTTGATCACCTGGAAAGGAAAGGACACGACATCCTAGAAACACAAACAATAGATTCTCAGAAGAATAGGAACTGACAAAAATCCATCTATTGAGTGATGAACTGATGGGTGAGAAAGCTGTTTAAATCACCAATGTGTATTTTCCAAAAGTATGCACAGATCACACTGCAAGTTTTCATCAATATTAGCACGCTGCTAGATTTTGCAGTACCAATTTATCAATAGGAATTGTGTATGATGTGTTTATAAGAATGTTTACATTAGCAAAAGAGGGGAGATGTACAAAACATCTAAATGCAAGAAAACTGGTTGTGAGAAATATGCCTATTTAGGAGAAATATACTTTATGTGAATGAATTTTTTCACAAGGACATAGGATGGAAGTAACGCTTTCACTCAATCCAACTTCTTTCTAGAAAGGCAGAAAACTGGTTTCTCCATAATGTTGAAGTTAATAGATGCATTTTGAAAAGAGTGAATGTGAGTTCAAAGTTTTTTCTATCAATATTCACCTCTAGCATTATGCAAACAAATGAATCGATGTAATGTCAGAGTTGGAAAGCCTTTTTTTAAATATTAGAAGTAAGCACTTTAGGCATTTTTTTTCTCTATCATTCCCAGCATTTTTAACCCTTGATTGTTCTGGTTCGAATTGACTGGAAATATCTCTCAAAAACATCCAGAGGACTCCAGATTGCTTAGTCTCATTTTAAATTCTGACCTCACTGAAATGAAATCACTGCAAAATACTATGGTAATTTTGGAGGAAAACAGCAGATTCTGCAAGTCTATTTAGTTTCTCCTCTAGTCCACTCAGAAATGTTTGCATTAGCAAGATAACATTTTAATGTCATGTCAGAACATTAACTGAGCTGTCCATAAAAGCAATTTATCCTCTGGGATAAAGCCCCAATCACTATTATAATGGCAATAATGTGATGCTACTGACACCTATATGACCCCCTCATCCTGAATGGAATTGTCTTAACAATTCTCTGAGTAGTTCTAGGCTTTTATGCCAATTACTCTGAAAAGGAACAAGCTCTGTTCATGCCAGGCAGGTAAATTCCTTGGTTCTATAATAATAATTTATTAATTTAGGGGAGTGCAATATTTTAGAATCCTAGCTTAGATTTATACACAAGCCAGGCTCTTCAACCATGGTTTAAACTATCTGGATTTTGCAAGAAGAACCAATCAAATTACAGATTGGTTTGGGGGCATGCACCTAGCATTTTCTCAGCAATTGGAAAGATCTCTTTGAGGTTTCAGAGTAAAATCTATCCATCTGATCCTGAACCTCAGTTAAGAAGGAAGAACATAAAGGAGGAAATTGCTTCTTGACCTTAGGCTCCATGGTTTCTATTAAAATATCAGATTAAAACTGAACGTAAAAGAAACCCTCCAAAAGTTTTCCATATTTATTTTATATGTTTGCCAGCAGTGACCATTATCAAGGCATACTTACTGTAGAAAGCAAACCATACAGAAGCTCAGGATAAACTCCACAATTATGGAAATGGTGAATCCTGCTTAAAAAAAATCTACATATACTTTCTCAAAATCTGGAATGGGAGAACTCACCCAGGTCAATTCGCCACGGCCAACTCACCATGGCCAATTTGCTGCAGGACAACTCACCGTGGAATAATTCAACAAATACAAAAGTTAAATTAATTTCAACAGAACTGTGGCCAATTGCAATAGCACTTAGACGTATATACTGCTTCATAGTGCTTTAAAACACTCTCTAAGTAGTTTACAGAGTCAGCATATCACCCCCAACAAGCTGGGTTCTCATTTAACCAACCTTGGAAGGATGGAAGGATGAGTCAACCTTGAGCCAGTGATAATTGAACTCCTGGCAGTCAGCAGAATTAGCATGCAATACTGCATTCTAACCACTGTGCCACCATGGCTCCAATAATAACAAAATAAACAAAGTCAATCCAAAAATACAAGAATTTCAATAATTTCAACAAAAACGTGAATTGTCCCATAGCAGGTAGTCCCGTAGTGAGTTGGTCATGGTCAGTTGATTGCAGCAAGTTGTCTGTGGAGAGTTGTCTTAGATCCCTCAAAATCAGCTGGGTAGAAATGCAATACATCAGGTAAATCAGGGGTTTCCATCTTTGTGGGTTAATGGGCAGATTTGTAATGGTGAGATCTTACTGGTATCACTTTCATGAATTTATTTTTTGGAAAGCTTCCAAACATTGGACTGATCTATCATCTTTAATTTTTATGATGGCATATGGAATCATTGGAAGTTGGGTGGTATACAAATTTTGATTATCAGCATCAACCTTTTTAAAAAGTTGGATAGAACTTAGTAAGCAAAGAACAGCCTCGGATATTACATTGGAGACTCTCCACAGTAAACAAAAAGATATAATTTATTATCTCTGATATCTAATAAGTAGTTGATAACAAAGGTTGAAAATTAACTTGCACTTGGCCCAGAATACATCCAAAACAAGTGAAGAGCTTATGAGTAAATTATCATTTTTATCCTATCATATGCCACGTCTTTACTACTGCAGCAAAAACATTCCAAGAGCTAAATTCCCATTCTATTTTTTTTTAAGCACTGATGCAAAATTAGGGACATACCTCTTGGTTTCCAATCCAGCACACAGCAAAAATGGCCACAGCCATTCTAGCAATAGCTTCAAGAAACTACTTTCTCTACAGGCCTCCCAAGACTAACATTAAACTCACTGCCAAGCAAAGCAGGTGCTGTCACACTGACTTCAATAGATTATAAATGAATCGCAGCAAAATTGGACTGAAAGCTCTCAGATGCTCAAGATAGAGTAATTGCAGGTCTTGTTAAGAGCATGCTTAAAAAAAACCCATGAAAACCTCACAGTAGCCCAGCCACAAACATAAAATACCAGTCCTGTGTAGATCCATAAAAGAGGGAGATTCACCCTCTGGGCTTCCATTATCTGCAAGACAATGGCAGGAGCTATATTAATCTTGTAGTCTGTAGAGAGAAGACATGAGCAAGGAAGCATCTTGAAGCTCCACTAACAGATGTTATTAGCATATGGCTGAAACTAGGGAACAGAAAGAAATTACTTTACAGCTAAATCAGCACAGAAATGCACGCGCGGGTGTGAAATTGCCAGTCTCGGCCTAATGTGAAAGCTCTGCTTCGTTAACTCTTAAAGGCTCATGAGAGCTCAGGGCACAGTCAAAAGTCAATTACAGAAAAGCAGTCCTTGAGGAATACCAGAAACTCATGTTCATGCTATGTCAGTTATATGTATAGACTGCTTTCCTGCCAACACACCGGGCCCTGGGATTGATTTGGCTCATTCTGCTCCCTTGAAAGGTCCCTCCCTTTTTTATTATTTTATTTCTATCTACTCAAAAGAACTATTGTTGCTTTAAGCAGCAGCAATCACTCTCCTAGGAGAGAATGAAGTGGCACAATTCTCAGGAAAGCTAAGCTACTGCTTGAGGAGATGGCAGCTTCTTGTGGCTGTAACAAAGGGCCGTCAATGTTAAAGATTAGCTGAGATGTGAAGAAACTATCCTGCAAGTTGTTATAGATGACCAGGCTGAGACCAAGGGAGGGGTCAAATGTGTCATCAGTCTCAAATCTCTTCATGCCCACAAGAGATCCAAGTCCAGCCCACCTTGCATTCCATTGACTCTTATCTACCGCCAATTTGCTTTGGCTGTTAGTAGTTCAGATTCTTAAGCTTAAGCTTGCGATAAATCTTTATACCCATTTGAACTGCCTGGATCTTCTGATTTCCCTGGCACTTGACACTTGTCTCATGCAATTTCTCAGTTTTCTTCCCATGTGAAGAAAAAAAAGAAGGGGCTTTTGTTTTTCCATCTTATTCTCTTCAAGAATTTATTTCTTTATTCTTGAAAGTGAAAGGGGCTCCAACTGTTGATACTATCACGGATGAATACATACAATTTTCTGTCACTCTGCAGCTTTATTGACTGCCCTTTCTTTCCTAGCTGAGCAAAAGTGCATGAGAGGAGTCCCCATTTGATGTCTGCTTTGGAATGAAGGCAACAACAGCCAAGAAGGTTGCAGAATGGAAGAGAATTCTGTAATGAAAGACCAGCCATTCCCATGCAGATCTCACAGCTATCTGCCCCTACAGCAGTTCAAGAACTTCCTAGTCTAGACATGAGGGGTTTTTTCCCCCAAAATTCTCTTCTCTTACAGAAAAAAAATTGAATCATAGAGATGAAAGGGACCTTGGAGGTCTTCTAGTTCAATCCCTGCCCAAGGCAGGAGACCTTATATCATCCCTGACAAATGGTTGTTCTATCTTTTATTGAAAACTTCCAGTGATGGAGCATCCAGGAGGCAAGCTTTTTCACTGATTAATTGCTCTCATGTCAGAAAATGTCAGAAAATTTCTCCTTAGTTCCAGATTGGATCTCTCTTTAACAAGCTTCCACCCAGTGCTTCTTCCTGCCCTCTGGTGCTTTGAGAAACAAGTCAATCCCCTTTTCTCTATGACAGCCCCTCAAGTACTGGAAGACAGCTATTGTGTCACTCCTACTACTTCTCTTCATTAGGCTAGACATACCTAGTTCCCTTAATTGTTTAATGTAGGATTTAGCCTCCAGACCCTTTATCAATTATGTTGCTTAACAAGACTTTTTCATTGGCTTAATTTAAAAACTGAAAGGAGAATGTTCTACAACACATCACCTCACAAAAAGAATCCCGTTTTGGGGAACAGTTTCTATTATGTCCCCAAACTGCCCAAAGTTGAAAACATAGACAAATAAGCAAGTGGTTGAATACAGAAACAGATATAGGAAGAGATTTAGAACCCACTGTTTTTGAAAACCAATTTGTGCCTTCAGGATACCATATATTATTGTATCTTCTTTTTGAAAAAAACGGTAATTGTGTAAGATTTGTATGTTAAGCCATTCAAAATGATGTATTAATAAAACACTACTGTGACCATCTTTCATCAAGACCACCTTACTGATAAGAAATTGGGCACACAAAGATGAAA